CGCGGTCTTAGCGGTGGTGAAAAACGTCGTCTATCCATAGCGATAGCATTAGTTGGGGATCCAACTGTAGTCTTTTTGGATGAACCCACCACCGGACTTGATCCGGAAGTTAGACGTTTTATCTGGAATACCATCAGCGAGGCAAAAACTGGACGAACGATTATATTGACCACGCATTCGAAGAGGCAGAAGTTTGTCAAGTGTTACCATTATGGGTTAAGATGTATTGACCACAATTAAGACTGAAGGAGAAGTATGGTCGAGGTTTTAAGTTGAGCTTTTTGGGTCAAGGGGGAGAGCTATTGGGTATGTTGGGTATTGTTATGCTTTTGATACGACGTGTGATGATAAATATAGATTTAGTTTAACTTGACTTTTGATACTTTTCTTAGCTTCATCAAGTCATCACTTCCACCAACAGCAAGAAGGCTTCCGTAACTTGTGAATTCTCGCCAGAAACTAACTTTCGTCCCATTCTTCGATCCCAGTCTAGAGGAAGTTTTCTTGATGGAGCAGATGCTAAATAAGTTTTCGGATGCACGGTCGGCAAATTTGACCTTATGGACCAAAACATAAACACAAGAAACCTTAGCCCTTATGCTAAGTATCAAAATACGGAGGAGTGGGTTATTCTTTCGTACTCTTTAGACGAATTTAATGAATATTCAGGATGTGCCACTAATTGGGGGAATTGATTGGCTTTATTTAGCGAATTTTTAAAAAGATCTGTTTTAATTTAATACAATTGATGTAATATATGTGTTATTTAGCTAATTGTTTGTCTAATGCAAGTGGCTCTCGATATTTTTGCTGGACCCGATTTAAAATCTTATAACAAGTAACTCGTTATAAGAGATTTTCGATATAAGGAAGGAATTTGTTGGGCCCCGATCACTTTCTTATATCGAGAGCCACTTGTAATAACGCTTTATACGTGTGTCAGGAAACAAATTGCCATTGCTCCATGTAAAACATTGCTCGTTTTGTCAATATCACTAAATTAATGGTAATAAAGTCTTCATATAAATTAATTCGCTCACCCAGAAACTGCGCAAATAAATCTTCCGACGTAATCGTATGGGTTTACAGTGAAAGAACAATTTTAAAACACATACAGCATGTACATTATAACATGTCCACTTTATTATTATTATTATTATTATTGTAAAAAACGAAATAAAACAAAAAAACATACACGAAGAAGTTATGACAAAAAAAGAATTCACAATGTCTTAAAATTAAACATGCATGATATATGATATTAATATAGAAAATTATTATTATCAAGTCTGCAATTCTACAGATGATATTTTCGCCATTCGTATTCGCCGGACTCCATGTTAGAAGGCCCACGACTGCGTTTACCCTTTACAGATCTCAACCGATGCTTTTCATACAAGCGCCGAATGAATCCCGAGATGACTTGCCCAGTAGTCAAGGTCAATATAATCAAGCAAATCATCAGAATTTGGTTCCAAGTCTGTTTGGAAGGGATTTGCGAAACCGTCCTCTCAACTTGACGGTCTGCTGCGGGGACTTGGAGTACTCATGCATGGATGGTTCAAACCTATAGAAATGGCCGGGTAATGACTTGTTAGGGTGGGTACGGATATTGACTGTATCCTTACCGTTACCAGATGCAAGAGGACTGGGTTCCAAGGTTACGACGACGGATACTGCTGATCCGCGAACACCGTCAAGCGGGTGTATAATCATCTCGGGTGATGGGAGTACGTTCTGCGACTGAAGTTGTTGTTGTTGTTGTTGCGATCGAAATCTATCAAATTCTGCCGCAATGTCATCGAGTTTCGTTTCAAGCGTTCGCACGCTATTGGTTAATTGTCCTTCCTCATTGATTTTGGGAGCTTTAGCCAACTCGCTAGCAGTAGCATCAGTAATTGACCAGAAGGCGTCTGATCAAGCAAGTCAATATAGGTAATGTGCCAATTTTAATGCTAGCCTCAACGGTAGAATAATACCTATCGATCCGGAATTGAACAGCAAGTCAAAGAAGCTGATGAGGATATTCGAGGACATTTACAGGACATGGTGTCGGGTGAAAAGAAATTGGATTCTTGGACCTTGAGCTCCGGGCGATCAGTCGTCGATATTTGGAAAACAACTAGTAGACTTACAATTGGAGCCTAAATGGCATTCACCATGATCTCTAATGTCTTCTCTCGAATGGCCAGTATTAGCATATTACTCCCACGTCGCGCGAGAGGAGTTGGGGTGAGTTGAGCGCACACCTTAACTCTCTATATTCCAACCTAGCGGAGACTGCAAAAAGCAGCAGACTGCTCTGGTGAACAGACAGGCAACGACTCTGAAACGTATATTGGACTGCATTATATAACTATAACATTGACGCCATCATGGCGCTAACCTTACAATAACCCACGTATTCTTCTCAGAATCTCTCTTGTATACTATTCTGTCATGTAATCTGTTTTCCTGGCTTGACCAAAATTCCATTTCGTTTGGGATAACTCTGTACCCTCCCCAGAATGGAGGCGGAGGAACATTGCCGTCGGGATAGGTTAATTTCAATGACTCTACGTGTTCGTGGAGGCTGCTTAGAGAAGGAATTACTTGGCTTTGTGGCGAAGCCCATGTACTCAATTTACTTTGTAACGGCCTAGACTGATGCGATGAATTGGGAGTTAAGGATAAAATTTCGAGGTAGGGAGTATGCGACACGCATAGAAGCGAGAGGGGAAGCGTTAAAGTTAGCATACATAAATATAATCTTATACAATTGGTATTGTGATTAACTTGTATATTTTCTATCGGTTACTTTTGTTCCTTATCAACACTCGTGGTCGATACATCAAGCCTGTTGTCGTAATACACGTACATTGTAATAATAGTTTTATTACCTTAAAATATGCCTCAGAGTCTTCCTTGCTTACTCTTTCCACAGTCCCACAAATCCTCACTTGTCTCCCCAGTGAACCCCAATAAAATGTAATAGCTGCTCTAGGATTTGACTCTAATTCTCTGCCCTTTCTAGAGTCGTAATTCGTATAAAAAACAAATCCCTGTTCGTCATAATGTCTCAGCACCACCACTCGAGCAGAGGGGATGCCGTCTGTAGTGGCAGTTGCTAATATCATGGCATTCGCATTCTCGTGATACACTCCCTGTGCTTCTTTGAACCATGATTGAAAGAATTCTACGGGATTTGGGTTTGCTTGTTCCGAGAGCACGGTTTGATGTGGCGAGGACATGAGTGTTGATGGATCGATTCAATTGTAAACCTCTAATCCATGGATTGGCAATTTCTGCGATCGTGGTGCCACAGTGGCCGTATTCGAGTTAGTGCGAACGAAGACATTCGTATCACTCTGAATAATGCTTACATCTCAAGCCAACATTTTGTTGAGTTTTTTTTCTCGTCCTCTCGAGAATACCAGATAATGCAAGGTTTGCTCATCAGTTTGTAATCCGCGTTTACAGAATTGGAATTAGTATTCGGTTGCAAACTTGTTAACAAATCGATCTAATTGGCTCGTTCAAATGTTACTAAGCGTTGTGGTAATACCTTTTTATTTCGCGCTTGACTATAATAATAAGCGCTTTTCAGCCAACATTTTAAAACTCACGCGATCACATGCTAAAATTGACAGTACTCGTTAATAAATGCTCGTTCAACATCTACTTGTAAGTCATGTGCAAGCAACGACTTTAGCTTTGCCTATTACTATAGCAAGTTGTGTTTTATTTTTGGCTATGGGCTATCACTTTATTATAAATAGTAAAAGAATAACCAAATTATCATCGGAATTCAGCCGTAGAGCCTTTTCATAAATTTATTTTATCAAGACTATTTATTCTTTTGCAATAAACAATAATGTATGTTGTATGTATGTATGATAGGCTATAAAATAACCGTACATCTATTGGTTTCTTTCTATAAGCAAAACTACAAATTAATATTAATCATTATGCAATAGGCTCAGAATATATGAGCATTTGTTATGTCAAGTACTTATTACATCGAGTATAAGATTAAATTCCAACTTCCACCCACAATTAAGAACAATATGTTTATTCCAATCTATTTCATAGTAGGTCATAGTGTTATCGGCCTCCCAATGGATAAGATACGGCGCTCGATTCGGTCGGAGATTTTGAGGCGTTGCAGGGGTCGAAGTTATCTCAGAGTTTGGATTTCGTCGGAAAGGGTTGATGGTTTTGCGGATGGCAATTCCGACATATTCGATACCACTCACACATTGTTGAATAAAGGCGATTTTAGACAAGGCGTTTTCACGATCTTGGTTATTGTAGAAAACCTGCAATAATCGAGACTGCGCATGAGCTCATACTGTTTAATATTTCCTCAATATCAATGCTTGCCCCTTCCCAGACATGACTTGCCTCGATCCAAACGTCAGGTGGTGGACATTTGTTGACGATGGGCTCTGCCTGTTGTCCAAACGTCGGCCTGTGAATCCAGATACCAACGTCTGGTCGAAACTCATCGCGTCCAACTACGCATATTGTATTCATCAATGCGGTCCAATCTTGATTATGCATTGTAGCTGAAACAATCAGTTTGACATGGATTCGTTGTTTGTGCATTCCATCGTACTGGAAAAAAACAAAGTTAACAAATAATATACGGATGTAGCCAAATTGATATGAGCCAAGATCAAACTTACTTTGAGATATATATCGTTTCCGATTCTTTCGGCGATATATTTTTCATGAATTGCTTCACGTACACGTGGATCAACTTTATCCATATCTAATTTATCAATAGGAAGGCTGATCTTGACAACGTCTTGCTTTTGCTCTTTTTTTACCAATTCGTCTATTTCTGTGGAGATCTATCATGTTCATTAGTTATACTTCTTTGCGACTGTTAGCAGTCTTAAAATTTACTTAGTACCAAATTGATTTGAGAAGTTCGCCTGGTCTCTCGAGTCGCTCGAGCGGGCTTTTCTGAATTTTTTGTCATATCTTTCATGTTGAAAGTCTGAAAGGAAAAAAGCGCAGTTTGCATCTTTTTAGCAACATATGGGGCAAATTTTTCCATTTAAATAAGGAGATCTGTTTGGCGCAGCAAACGGTAATAAATTACTGCGTTAACTATTAGTGTGCCTGACTGGCCTGACACTTGCATTCTTGTTACAGATTTGCACCTCGCTCTTGCTTCTCCAGTATTTTTTCTTCCCTTCCTTTGCTTTACTGCTGCTCAACGTTTGTCGAGACGATGGCTAACATATTACAATCTAGATATGTTGCTTATAAGGTCGCTAACTTTGATATGGATCTCAGCGCAATTCACATATTATCATGAAAAAGTGGGTTTATGGTTCCTTACTATTACCAACTTTGATACAGTATATTAACACTGTTCAATGGTTCATTTATGCATGCACTAATAGATTGTTTTTAAATAGTTTAGTTGACTATGGTTGTATATTAACAATCGATTCAATCCATTCGGAGCGATGTCGTAAAAAACGCGGACAAGCGACAGTTATGATCTGGTTATACAATTGCATATAAAGTTGTATCAACTCGTACTTACAATAGAACACGAAAATAATGTTTTTCTGGAAACGTAAAATTGCTAAGGAATAAATTCTTCATTAACGTGCCAGAGCTAATAGAATATTCTAGAACTTTTAAAATCAAATTATCATATGACAAAATTAATATAACTTCAATACATCTTGATTAGTTCAATAAATAGACACCGTAGAGAATTTCATGAAATCATGCGTATAAATATATACAGAATATTGTCTACAACGTGCATGCGTGCGAATTATGTTAGTCGTTTTTTGGAAGAGAAAATCAACAGACTTCCAACTTAAGCTAGCCACGTGAATTCGAGCGCCTTAAAATACCCATCTACTTTTTGCCACGTATTGTAAACGCCCAAGAATTTAGTTCTGCTAAAAGTGAAAGATTTAATTAGTGTATTAAAAAAATTTATTATGTGGCGATTTTTAATATATTAAAATTAATATTAAATATTTATGGTTACGCTTGCATATTGCGAGTGTTAATATAGTTACACTGTCAAGGCGTGAGAATTGCCGACTTTCCATTGGAAATAGGTACGCAAATAGGAAACTTACATTACTAAAGTTAGAACAGTCACACTAGCAGATCATTATAGGTAGGAATGACTAAGTTTTTGTACTTCTCTGAGTAAGCGATCTCAAGTCGTTGTGTGTACTGTTGGTCATAACCAAACATAGTGACTATCAATGAGAGCGAATATCGAAACGGCAGATGTAACAGTCGCTAGCAATATAGAAGAATGACATATGTCTGCATAATCATAAAGGGCAATGTTTCATTTTTAGGAACAAGGGAATGATAGATCCCATTGATGCACATTTTCGACAACTTCCTGTATGCGAAAACGAAGCTGAGCAAAATTCACCTGTTGGCTTATTATGTAATGGTAAGCCTCGTCAGACAATGTTAAAATCTTCTGTATCAGTCATAAATGTTTCGTGGTATGCACTGAATAAATTTAAAGCACAATACGAAGAGAGAGGGAGAAGGAACATTCTTTGATTTCTTTACAGAATTCCCATGTTACATTCGTGTGTGTTGAAGAGAAGGACACTGAAATTTGCATACGGACTTTGTAGACAAGCAGTATAAAATATGAAGCAATAAGGGTACGGAGAACGGAGCACGCTCTACAAATATCACTTTATTAATCTATTCAAGTAGTCCGTAGTCAATATATCGCTCAGCTTTGCGCAAATGTTCAGAACAAGTCTTTGAAACGATTCGATGCTGCAGGATCTGTTTGTTGATGAGTGCTGGCTTAATTAGGTATATAACTTTTCAACGGCTCCATTTCGCCAAAAGTTCAAAGACAGCTACTGTATCATGATGTTAGACTTCCAAGTGAAATCACATATGACATGTAAATTTGATAAAGTCTGATGTCGAATCATGGAGTTGGTGCAGGATTGAATACAGTCGATTGCAGTCTTTGGCGCCAAAGTAAACAAATTGAAGAAGAATTATTCGATGCAGTGAACGATTCCAGGACGACTGGCGGTGATTATTTGAACATGTATTCTCTTATAATAGTCTTGATCACATTGATCTGTTTCGCATTCCTTCCATGAGAGCCCCGTATATGCAAGTGGGCTATGAATGTAAGAGAAATCCTCCACATCCGAATATTGGTGTTACGGGAATTGTTGAAAGAGAAAAAAAAAATGCTGATGCTAATGCAAGATGCTATATTAATATGTAGAGATGAATGGATACGTGACACAAATGTCAAAGGGGAGAATTACTATTACGCAAAAGAGAAAAAAAAAAAAAAAAAAAAAAAAAAAAAGACAGATTGAAATGGCGGGAAGGACATCGTCTTTACTCCGTATAGATCATCTGTACACCATTCAATCCAGAATAGTCCATGAGCAACAAAACATGCACATGATGATTGCTTCTTTTTTTTTCTTCTTCGTACGCTGATGTATCGTAGACTTGTTTGTGAAAGTCACGCAAGAAGAGCGTACGGAATTGCATGGGGACAAGTATAACTGGATATGTGCAGCAATGTCGTAAACATGTGCATGCCATGTAAGCGGGAGAAAGACTGTCAGTACAGCATAGTCAAATAAGCAATATGCAATGTAAGCCAGGCTCTGGATAAGCCAGAATGGGGGAGGAAAGAAAAGATGCACAATGTAAAAATGAGTATAGTGATAGGAACAATTACTTACTCCTAGTTGTGTGCTCCCTTTTCTTACTATCTAATATGGTCATTATGGTCATTATGGTCATAATGTCGATTCTGTGGTTATGGTCTCGCTCGCGCGCGCGAAAGCCTTGCATGTCGAATGCTTTTTTGTTGTTTCTTTCTCTCTTTTTCCTCATTTGTGCAACTTGAGTTCGCGTATATACATACATATAAAAAAAATTTTATTTCATAATCATGGGAAATAAATTTACTAAAACAGTATCTTATATTAATCACTAAAAAACTGTAATTTCATGGCATATGCAGAACAGTGCATAATTCTAACCGCTGATGTACGATTTATTATTGACTTATCAACCGGTATTCAATCCCAACCATTTTCTGACGCCAATTAACCCAAACAATGCCATATCAAACTGCGCACAACTCGTGCAAAGTTACGCCTCAAACTATTTTATAATACCCTGTGTATATCAATCATAATCAATCAAACCCCATTGTTTAAGGGTTACAGCATCGGCGGCAGCAACTACAACGATGATGACAACAACAACAGCAACAACAACAACAGCAACAACAACAACGACGACGACGACAACAACAACAGCAACGGTAACAACAACAACAACAACAACTGACAACAACAGTGACAGCAATAAACAATAACAGTAAATACAATACATGGTTTACAATGAGTGGCAATTATATTGTAATAATGGAAACTAAAACTGTATATAAATATTAATATTACATTCCTGCAACTCTTATTCGCCTTGCATATGTCACTCCTAATCCCCCCACTCCAGCACTCCCAACCCCCCCCCTTCCCTTTTCTACCCCCCCAAACATCTACAATTCTAACATTATTAGTAATACTTAATAAATAATACTACTTATACTTCGGATTGGTTTCCGTGCGTAACGGAGTTGTTCGGAATGTGCCGTTTCTTCAACCAGTGCAATCTCAACCCAATACTAACCAATGCTCTACGCCGACAGCGAAAGAGGAAAAAAAAAGAGAGATACGAAGAATAGCGTATAAATAATATATACATATCGAGATATATGATTACAATTGTATACATGTTTGTACATGTACTTCCCTTTTGTGTATACGTCGTTCAACTTCCACAAAAAAGCTGTCCTCGTTAATAAAACCACCATGCTCATCCCATTTTCCACAATTTTACCCCTATAATAAACATAACAATTATTTCTGTACATTTATATATAATTAGGAGAAAGACATCTTTGTATAAAAAATACATTTTCAAGAACAGAAGGAAAAAAAAAAGGTCACAATATATATACGAAATATAATACACTTGCAATTAACGACCATAAAAACAAAAAAGTATTATCACAATTTCGTAATTGATGTCTTCAGTTGTCTCGGAAGAGGGAAAAAAAATTACAAACCAAAATCATACTATCCCATATATCATACCATCCCATAACGTACCCATACTCAAACCCCAACCCAACCCAAATCCAAACTATCGAGAAAAATAAAACCTTGCTTCAAATAATAACCCTTAAATAACTCTTTTCAAACAATACTTGCAGCTTCTCACGCTCTCACGACTACTCTAATATCACTTTACACGTTGTCGCTAGAAGGTAAAGCCATAGACATTCCGAGTTGCGATTTCCTTTACGTCAACTCTGACTAATTAAATTCCCCCGTTTCTTGTCTTTTCCTCTTCCACCCAACACCCCCAACACCTCTCAATCCCCGTCTCTACTTCAGCCAATACTGGGAACATACTCAACTTGGCTCTCTAGGTAAAAGTAACTGAGGTAACACAGCAGGACGCAAGATAACGATCCATAATACATACTTTATAGTTTGATTGCATAGGTTCTCCCAGCAGCGAATCGTTGTCTCATTCTAATTACATTTAATTGTCATTTTATTCCTTTTCCATGCTTGTCTTTTTGAAATCAAGCATAGAACATATCTTTTTCATTATAGATTACATAGAAAACAATACAACATAGAAAATCATCTCATTTTCTAATCGATCCTCTCGCAATACATTCGTATACGAACGATATTGCTTTAATTTCCTACAAGACTATCGCTATTTGATCACGATAAGCTAATATCCGAATCAACGACAAAAGCTTGCATCCCCACTTTGCAATACGAAAAAAAGTCAATACATTTAGACAATCTCACAAACTATCCCCCCAAACACACACACGCACGCACAAAGATATCAATGGCTGTACATCCTCTCTCACAAACTGCAGCTCAATTTTTGCATCGCGGAAAGAAATTTGTTTCCAAACTAAATAAGCGTTGTCACCACCATTACACCAACACCAACACCAACACCAATACTAGCAACATCAGCAACATCAACAGCATCAACAGCAGCAAAAGTATCAATAGGAACAATAGCAAAAGTGGCATTTACAACAACAATACACATAATAACAACAATGTCAGTAAATACATCGATCAAGATGCTCATTACATCTACCGACAAGGCGAAAAGTACTTGTTTGGTAGAGGTGGTGAGCCAAAGGACGAGAAAAAAGCCTTCAATTACTTTACCCGCGCAGCAGACATGAATCACCCACAAGCTCAAGGAGTACTTGCTTTCTGCTACGAATTTGGTCTCGGTATCGAAAAAGACTTTAAACGAGCCGAACAATACTACATCCCTGCTGCCGAACGCGGCAATGGTCTAGCTCAAGCACGTCTGGCCTTTTTACGTAAATACGGACGACCTTCCGTAAGGATAGACCGTACAGAAGCTGAAAAGTGGCAGCAAAAAGTCAAAGACCAAGGCCGTAACGCGATTTCGTGGCTGCAAATTGCCGCAGAAAAGGAAAATCACCCCGCTGCACAGTATTCTCTTGGAGTTTGTTATCACGATGGCGTCGGCGTTGAAAAGAACGAACTCGAAGCCTTTAAATGGTACAAAAAGTCGGCCGAGCAGGGTCATCCGCGCGGACAGGGAATACTCGGCTTTTGTTACGGCGAAGGATTTGGCGTCGAGAAAGACGAATACGAGGCAATGAAGTGGTATCGCAAGGCTGCCGAGCAAGGAGAGTCGGTCGCAATCTACAATGTCGGTTATTGTTACGAAGATGGTATCGGCGTGGAAAAAGACGTAGTCGAGGCTGTGAAATGGTATCGACTGTCTGCCGAACAAGGAAATGCTTTCGCCCAGAATTCGCTCGGCTATTGCTACGAAGATGGTATCGGTGTCGAACAGGATTCGGTCGAAGCTGCTAAATGGTATCGCAAATCGGCCGAACAGGGATACCCTTGGGCCGAGTGCAATCTTGGATACTGCTACCAAAATGGCATAGGCGTACCAAAAGACGACGTCAAAGGCGCGCATTGGTATATGAAGGCGGCGTCCCAAGGGCATGCTCGGGCTCAGCATAATCTCGGTTTTTGTTACCAGAACGGTATCGGTGTGCCCAAAGACGAGGCCAAAGCTGTACAATGGTATACCAGTTCTGCCGAACGTGGTAACATGTTTGCGTATCATTCCCTTGGATACTGTTATCAGAACGGTATCGGCGTCAAAGTGAACAACGAAGAAGCAGTGTATTGGTACTTTATGTCTGCCGAAGAACATCATGCACCTGCTCAACTCAGTCTCGGATATTGTTTCCGGAACGGCATTGGTGTACAAAAAGATGAAAGAGAAGCGGTCAAGTGGTTTACAGCAGCTGCCGAGCAAGGCAATGCTCTTGCTCAAAATTCTCTTGGATACTGTTACGAAGAAGGACTAGGTGTCGAGAAAGACGAGAGAAAGGCCGTCTATTGGTATGACCTGTCTGCTCGATCGCAGAATCCGTGGGCACAATGTAATCTCGGGTTTTGCTATGCGAATGGAATCGGCGTCGACAAGGACGATGTAAAAGCAGTCACATGGTATCGCGCTGCTGCTGCTCAGAATCATGCCCGAGCACAGGATAAGCTTGGCGTATGCCTACAGTTGGGAATTGGATGCAGTAAAGATGAAGAAATGGCAGTGCATTTCTTCCGCTTGGCTTCTGAGCAAGATCACGTTTCGGCAATGTATCATTTGGCAAATGCTTTGGAAAAGGGAGCCGGTTGTGAAATTGATCTTCGCGGTGCAACATACTGGTTTGAGAAGGCAGCTAGTTACGGGTGTAGGAGTAGTTGTGAGCGTTTGAAAAGACTACTTGTGAGGGAATGTATGGGAAGTGATTATACCGGGAGCGAATTTGTTTGCGGACATTATGCCCCTGCGGCTTGAGAAGAAGAAAAAAAGTTGGTTGGTAATAATGTAGGTATGGATATTTGGGTTATTTGTGGTAGAAAACGTTTGCTTTTGAGTTTGCTCGATTGTTGGTGTCTGAGGGCGAGCTTGCAGAGAAAATGCTTGCAAAACAATTTTTCTTGTTAAAAAAACTGGTTCCTTTCTTGTTTGTATCTATTCCCCCCCTTTGATTTTTGTCAAATACTGTTGAACAATGTGTTGGTTATTATATCCTGCCTTTGACAATAATCTTCAATTGTCTTTTAAAAAAAAACTTGTAGCTAAAAACAAAAGTCTAATTCAGTAATGTTGAATATAGATGCCATTTATAAAATTACTCATTGTATACACTCTGTTCCTTTTTTTTTTTTTTCTCTTCTTTTTTAGTAGTTCTGCTTTTACATTTTTCTTTTCTTTCATCAGCATCATTTAGTTTTACTTCTTAGTACATATTTTCTTTTCCTGTTCCAGTCTGTTTACTAGTTAAAGGACATTTTGTTATTCCGATGGCTTCTTGATTTAGCGTATTCTTGGTCGAGAAAAAGCAGGATGAAACAGAAAACGCTTTTTGAAATTTTGGTGTATTTGCAATTTCGTCAGCTGACATCCACATCTACGACTGATAAACGACAAGAATTGATTTTTGCATGTTGCATTATTTCATTCGAAAATCTTGAGAAGCGCGTAGTATATGACAAGACTTTTATTTGGGAGTAGGAAGCGTTAATATCAACATAGTATTTGCGTGCTTAGTGAAAGTGTATTATATTATATCGTAACCACTATATTCCATAGAATTGTTGACTTTTTTTTTCGAACAAGCGAAGATGGCGATCGTCCTCTCAACCGTCAGAAATGTAAATAATAAATTTACGAGAGGCAAGGTCAATTTGTCTGCGAGAACCGTTATAAAATCATACCTCTTTCTAGTGTCTAGGGGATTAAGCTTACACTTAAGATTTCTACGCGAAATATGATATAAAAAATATTAAGCAAAGAATACCTTTATATTATCTGTGTAGGAATCAACTTGATTTTAGGTAAGCCTCATTGATTTATTTAATTAGTCTAAACTAGGTTACTACCTAGCCTGAATGGTAACCAACATTTGCATTAATGTTACTAGCATGACTTTTAGTTTAAAAAACCATCACCCTAAAACTTGGGTAGATAACAGGTTTACGCGACATCAAAATGCGGTTGATAATGGATGTCAGGCTGTGTTAATGATCTTTTGTGTTCCAGAATACCCTTTTCTAATTCTAATTTATAAGCCCGCAACATGCTCATTTGTTTACAAAAGCCTGCCTTTCGAAACACGTTTGATTACATAATTATCAAAAGCCAATTATTATCGTTCATCCATTTTGGTCTTTTCATCATCAATAAGCTAGAATCCTATTAAGTAATTATATAAAAAGGACCTTATGCGTAGGCGTTTGTGGAAAATATTTTTGACAAGTCACCTAATAGTCTGGAAATAATATAATATCGGTCTTCACCCGGCATTTTTAAATTGGTGTTAATGTACAGGAAAAATGCAACAAACTCACACAAAGCGCGAATATAACCCCTTGATAAACACTGTCAGATAAAGTTTTCAAAGTGAAAAAGAGGGTGTTTCTAGTATTACTATTACGACTGTGATAATTGCTTCGGCTTTTCCGGGGTGTCTATAAACTTAAAGTATAATATTACTTTTAAACTTTGAGCGTAACTATCAGCTATACTAATACAGTTGATAATATTATTATTACTCACCAAAATCTTACCACCTTCTACGCATCCTCATTTCATTTTTGCAACTAAATTATCTTTAATATTTACATTTATTAAAGTTTAATTATAAAGGAAAAGCTCTCTTCTCCACAGAACACGGGAATGTTGTTGTCAATTGCCAGAGCTGAGCATCTGCTTGCTCAAATGCACTGAGCATACCAAAAACTCTTAAAAACACGAGGACCAATTTAATTGATATGATTAGCGATGTATTCCTTGCAAGTTTCCAATTGGATGCTCAATATAATTTATTAATAGTTCTATTAAAATTCACATCACTTATAATAATGTATATATATATATAGTATGTTAACACGTATTATCATGCTTTTTTCGGGTACAACAAAGTTTGGCGTCTCCCGAATCTGCTAAACAGGAATTAACGTTAATCCCAGTTATGAATATGTTTACATTGTAACATTGTAACATTGTAACATTGTAACACATACTATATAAATATATATAGCTAGAATTTGCTTAGTATGCACACAAGGAAATCAGGGTGGTGGGATACACAGTGCGACTGTACACAGTCGATTGCTAAGGAGACCAAATCTTATTTCATTCTCTTCTTGTTCAATCAAATTTCGAATCTTGGATATTCGGATTTTTGATGGGTTTCTCTGAATATAGTACGCCATATAATAAAGTAATGAAACCCGTTTACAGACTTTTTGTAAGCTAAATTGAAGCTCTGTTCCAAGATCTAAAAGTCGATATTAATAATAATAACTGAAACGCCCTAATCCCTGATGTGATGATCCTCCTTCCTTTGGACAACCACAGCAGGGGTATCTCGCCGATCCCCGCCTACCCATAAACAGTATGATATGCAAGCAGGGCGATAACGCTAACTATACTTGATAATAATAACACTCGTGCTACCGATTATGTGTATCGCTAACCTAGAAAGTGATAGTGATCACAAGTTTATTAATCCATAATTTAAAATCCTATTATTGTAATTAATGAATACGCGAGTTCAAATATCTATGGGACTAAATTAGTAATATATTTACAACTGAATTAGTCTATTACGAGATCATTGTTTATCAGCACCATCAGCATCCTCGAGACTAGCGGTATTCGTATTCTGCTCAGAAGTCGTTGTTGGTGATGGTGATGGTGAATGTGTAACAGTTGCGTTTGCTTTTGCAAGAAGATTTGCCTTGAACTTCCTATACATCCTTGCTTCTTTCTTAGCTAGAATTCTTGCCTCTTCAATAACACGAGCTTTCTCTTCCTCGTCGACACACAACAGATCCTTAGGATCATACGTTAATTTTTCGGGAATAGAACAAAGAGAAATATTCGCATGTAATTCATTTCCTCTTTCTATGATCTCTTCTGGGGACGTAACATTTCCCCACAGATCCAATATCGGCAATGATTTATACAAAGGTAGGCTGCCCTTTGGCAATTGCTGAAGAATAACGTCGTTTTGCATAATAGGTACTTGGAATATGGATACATTATGTACTTTTCCAGGTTTAAGATGAATATGCTCTCCAAGTTCGGCATGATTATTGGAGAAACTGACAAACTCTTCGAAATTAGGATACAACATAACATATCCACGCAGATAAGCCAATTCAATCAAGAATTTCTTCCACGATGCTCGCCATTTGTTAGATCTGCTCCACGGAACAGTCACATTCTGGAATTTAAGCGTATTCCAATCCTCTATACGAGCGAGAAGATAGTCGTGGAATTCCCGCCATATCTCGGGGAAATAAACTGCCCCCCAACTACAGGGTACTTGACATAAATACGGAGTTCGACTCGGGAACGGATGTCCCTCAAGCGCCTGGTCTGGGAAGAAAGGTCTTCGTCCGGGCAGGGGAAGTTCCATCGCCCTTTGTCCGTAAAAACTCACGCCATACATTCGCTGTGTCGTTTCTCTGGCTGTTCCATAGCGATATTTGAGTAAAGTGTATTTCGTCCAGACGTACCAAAAGGGAGAAAGCTCCACGTCATCTTCGAGAACTACACCATAATCTTCATCATGCGCTGGATAATAAGCTTCGGCCACTGCTGGAAGAAGACCTCCTTGAACAACACGGAAATGAACATTTTTCTCTCCATGTAGCCATTCAAATGCTTGGGAGTATTCGATGGTTTGTCGGTCTGCAGATCTATCCATATTTATGGTAAGTCTTATTTTATCTCCCAGATAATAAGCGGACGAAATGGATTTCATTAGGCGTGTGAGAGAGTATAAGCGACTTTGAGTTATTATATGCAATTGCAACTCGGGTTTATTCCATTCTATAAAGGGTAAATAAAAACAAATTAGAACGAAATACTGAACACACGAACGCCATATGTGTTTCTCATTACTTACGTCTGAGAGCCCTTATTGGCAGATCGGGTATCCACATAACATGAGGCACTTGGGTAGATGGAAGCGCTATAATTCCAGCAGACTCTGCAAATTTACTTGCTGCTTGTGCGAACCCTTGTGTACCGTAGCTATCTTCATCCTCATCTTTAATATAAATGATAGCCTGTGACTTAGTATACTGCACAATGCGAGTAAGTCCATGTTCGATCTGAGTAACAATATTAACAATATCTTCAACTGGCAGTCCAAAGTAGGGTCCATCAAGAATGTCTAAATCATAAATGGTGACACTACACAAAGATGAATGATTATCGATTAACTTCTTCATCCCGTCTCTACTTAGTCCACGGCCTATGCCCGTCACAATTACGTGAGTCATAGCTTCTTTTACGTGTGACATTTTACATATTAACGGTACAAGGGCTTTTGCTTGACGAATACCGTCAACTGCAAATGTTGCTACTCTACTTGTTATTTGGTTCCAGGCTTTCTGTTGTGCAACTAATGGATATCCACGATGCAGGTACTTTTTCCACACAACATTGTTTGCGAATTCACGTTTTAATATGCCGCAAGTAGCACCCTGTATTGGACCATTTCTTATATCTCCCCATGACTCAGCGTCGGTTAGAGCGGTAGGCATTACAAAAGAGGGAATGTTTGCATGATATTTAAGTGCGAAACTTATCAAGAAGCTTAAGGGCAGTTTGTGATTTTCGGGCCTACTTTCTTTGAGTAATAACGACATCCAATGTTTCCTAAGGAACCAGACATGATTAAGCATATCAACAGGCCGAGATTTTTCTGGAAGAAGAGAGTCCGTGCCTCCGTCGTGATTGGGACGATCTCCATGTACATGATCAAAGAAACAGGTTAAGCGTGGATTTTGTCCTCTAAAGTTCATAACAATGCCCATTGACCCAATGGCAGCACCACTGTAAACGGGTACGTTTGCAATACGAAGCATGTTGGAAAAATAGTTCGAACCAGGGACCACGCCGTTATCTAGTAACACTATATGTTCAGTCGTCGCCCGTTGAGCCAATTTAAGCCAAGCGAATGGTCCAAGGTGTTCATCTTCTGTAACTGTATGTACCATTACTCGGTTATCGTCCATCTTCCTTACAACTCTGGTTGCAGCAGCTTCAGCATGGCTAGAGGGGGTTATAATCCATACTGCTTTCGGTCTAGCAGACTGTGCAGCCATGGATGTAAGCTGACGTTCAAGGCCGTCCGCACTCACATAGAGGATTATTACGGTTAGTGGGGCGACGGCATTCTTATTGGGTTTCCAGGCCGATTCCAGTTGCTTTAGTTGTTGGAATGTATGACCACCTTTTGGAGTGAGAACTCGTATGCGAGAAGTCAGGCGTTCAATCTCTTCATTTTCGACATCAGAACCTCCTTTGGGTTTTTATTTAGTACAAAAATCACTTTTTTATTATATATTCGAGGCGTTGTCGACCACAAACAACCAATACTTTACCTGTTGGCAGCTCTTCCGAGACTTCATTGTCGGACGGAGGATGCAGCCCGAAGCGGTCACGACGTAAGTTAGCAAGATGAAATATAGAAAGAACAAAAGCCAGGAAAAGAACTATGGCTACAGTGCGAAACAACGACGGTACTCTAGGTCTAGAGCGTAAAGTTTTCATATCGCTGCTTTTTCTGTTTGACACAATTTGATAATGAATGATTCAGCTTTTTATAGTTCAATAAACTGTGAAACGCGAAGGGTCATACGAATCAAACTACCCAAGCACTGTGTGCATTATTAATTGTAATTGGTTCTTGATATTTGCAAACTTTCTACAGGACATGACACAGATAAATATACTGAACGTCTTAGCGGTTCTTCAAATGCATGTCTAATAAACCGCAAACGGGGAAGCCTGTCTCGTCATTTCAAATTTAAGGTTCGCGCCGCATTACAAACAAGTATATACAGGTCGCCAAAATATCCACATATCATTTGTATCACATAAGATCTCACATATCTATTTATATTCCGATCTAGCAGGCTATTTGTGGCATTTGTGCCAGCTTATATATTTTTATTTTTGAGAGATCGATATGACAAAGACGAACTTTGCTGATTCCTATATTTTGTCTTGTCCCTAAAATTAGTCGAATAAAAAGATGAATAAATGAATAAATAAATAAAACAAAAAAAATTCGAAAAATAACAACCATACCTAGCAGTTAATGCTTCATCAATCGCCTCATCGATAATGTGCTTTGTCATGTGTACCTTGAAGCAGCATTCCAATGCGCACAACAGTTTGCACGAATTTGCGTTCACCCCTATACGCATGATTTTTGAAGTCTCTTGTCCTCACGCTCATTGACGTCTTTTCCTACACGAACATCCGTGCAAAGTTTAAACCTATCTTCAATAGGTTGAGATTTTATCCAAACCCGTCGTACGGACAACTGCGTTATAAGCATATCTCGACAAGCCCATCCACCGTTTCAATGAAGGTGATTTGGATATATCCCAACCTCGAAGCGAGACGGATAAACCTCATTTATGTCCCGTCCCAAATTCCCATATCATAGTAATCTATTAATATCATACCTCGGTTATATCGATATCCCCTATTTACTATATACGATACTAATGTTGCACAAGTCATATTCCTAATTTACTATTACTACAGTAAAACCTCCATAAACATTTATGGGGGGTTTTGCATTATGGAGGGGTTCCTTATTAGGAAAGATATTTAACGATTTACGTTAAACAGATCCCTACTAAGAATTGTGTAATGCCACTTTGTTTCATTAAATTTACCTGTTTTTCGCGAATGAATTTCTCCAAACTATTAACGGCTTTTAAATAACTACTGGTTCCCCCCACTTTATAGCTTTCGACAATATCTACGTTAAACAATTAAAGCTCTTCTTGCTAGTTTCAAAGCTATTGTAAAATGAAACAAACAGTTTCTAACTCAAACGCTGAAAGAATATTTCCTGTGCACAATTAGAACTATAATAGTAACATCCTTCTGCTGTTTCAAAGCTATTGTAAACAGGATAAAAGTCAAACACTGAAAAAAGAAAATAGCAATTCTTCACACATAAAACTCGATCTATAACAAATGATGTGCGCGCGAATAGTGATGTTTGACTTGATACGTGAATCACGTGAGTTGCACTTGGGGAGATAAATAAATTGGAACCGGGACTCGCGTTTATTCACTAAGTCCCAAGCTTCAAAGTGTTGCATTTAGGGGAGGATTGCACTTTTTTACTGTATATATTATATGAGTGTTACACAAACAGTCTATTTTACGTCCTAAAAATAATTAGCAAACTGTGCCGAAAAGCGATCAGGTCATAAACACGCCACTTTGACTTTAGCAAACCAGACGGCGTTTAATCGTTGCTTAACCTTTCCGATATTAAAAAATAAAAATTTATCGAATTAATCATCAAAGTATGGATAATAATAACATCAGTAACAGTAGACAAGACAAAATCTGTCACTTGAAGATAAAATAAACATCGTTAAGAGAAAAGAAACCGATGTAAAGCATATACGAAATATAATTCGACGCTTAAATGAGTCTATAGAAAGGCTAAACGCCAAACTTCATTAACCGAGTTTATTAACCAATAAAATTACATGTTTTTAAATAAATACTTTATGCTACCTCATTTATATCCCACCTCATTTATATCCCCAGTCCCAAAGTGGGGATACAGCATACGATGGAGATTGATTGCAAGGATATCTTGGGAAAGTTTGCTTCGTTGACGAAAACCATGAGTTTCGTAGTATGGGGGAGTGTATGAGGTCGCGGCAGAGTCGGTCACAGTGGGTAACCACAATTTCTGAGACCATGCCGCGACTTTTCCGGTCTTAAGTTTGTAGGTACGAGTTGTTCGTAGGTTGGGGATCTGATGATCTCCTTTTGCTTGAACCCTTTTTTGGTGGTGGTGGTGATGTTAGCATTGAGGAGAGTTTATGTGTTTACGATTTTGATTTTCAAATAAGCAATATTGCAATGGTTAAAGAATTTGGGTGATAATGTCTTTAAATATGTTTATGGTTGTCGGTATTTGAATGGCGGGAACCGAAAACGTGCAAGAAACATGCAATCTCATATGAGCCGTGCTTGCATTGAATGAAGCTATTGTCTACGAAAACGGTTCTGAAGCTTTGACTACGAGCATACAACTCTCTCGGCAATACCCAAGGCAAATCCGTCCGAGTGAGGAATGATTACGCCGATCATAAGGCTCCAAAGATACAGTGGCGAAAAAGTTTTTGGAATAAAATTATTTTCTTCAAAATACGCGTCTAATCAAAACAGTCAACTAATACGTTTTGTGTGTTCTATTCTTATGCATGTAATGCCGACAAGAAAACTCGGTCACATAACTTTGTTACTTGTGTAATTGGTTTTACTTTTTGTTTTGTTATTAAAAATACAACGACAGGTTTTCGATTGACCGACGTCGCAAGATCACTACTCAAAATGCCTATACTTTAATTAACTATTATTTTGCCATAATATTAAGAAGCATAAAATAAAAGTCTTTGGGAAGAGATTGGAAAAAGCACATTTGATTCAAAGCATGCCGTCAAGATTGAATAAAATAATGGACGGGAATGGTTTAAGATAAGCTATTGAGCAGCATATCTAAATTTTCATCATTTTCGTTGCACAATTAATAAAAATGATATTCCAATAACTTTTTTCGCGCACTGTAGAATACACTCACTCCAATAATGTCAGTAACAAAGGCCGATGTCAAAACCAGAATAAGAGTAATGGTCATCATTGAATGATATTAGACTTTATTAAATGTTAAACGTCGAGAGCTGTGAACGCCGTTGAAGTCAAGTCATTCAACTTTTACGAAAATTATCATAAGAGACAATGTTCTGTCGCTTAGTATAACTGACACGCATCACGGAGGAATACGTCATCGTTTACGCTTGACTGGCAATTATCATCAATATCACTGTTACCTTTTAAGACCAATGTTAATGTTGATTTATTAGAAACAAAAAACAACTTTGTCACACTAACACTTTATCTACTAAATATTAGTGTTTGGGGAGGGCATACCCCAATCTATAATTGAGTTCCAGATGATAGAGATTTGGACCAGCAACGATGACCATTAGAAAAAGTGAGCAACACTACTTTGATGCAAAGACACCGGCAAATTGTCTTAAAATCAATCAGTTACATAGCAGACTTTTATTAGCAAAGTTCTTATAGCCAACCGTTTCGTTTAGCCACTCTTTCAGTGATAATATGAGTGAATATACAATAGCTATTCCCCAAGTCCAGGAGCTTATCTATCAAGGCTTTATCTTTTGAACCTTGGTATTGGGTAGAAATCTATTACCGTAAATCCTTTAAAGTCGATTCGCTTCCCGAAATCAGTCTACCAAACGAGCTTTCAATAGTAAGTCCGTTTCTTCTTCTTCCACAGGCTTTTATCCACAACTTTTTCATCTCTGACTATTACTTCAAATCCCCGACAGAGTAACGTCTCGAAATTGTTTTTAACTTTGCGGGTTGTGTAAAGCATCTCATGGCCATTGTAACGATTATGACTTCTTTATGTTATGGCGGTTAAGACAAGTTGATAATAAAGCTTATGAGGTGGATTGCTAAACGTGAGTTTGCCCCTCTTGTTACCACTAACGTTTATCATTGTGCACGCTTTCATGCTAACATAATTTTAGTTGACCGCACCAAAAGCAGCGATACTGCCTGACACATCTGGAATATACTATCACACTACCCCCGTCAGCTTTTTTTGTTGAAAAAGAGAGGGAGTTTTTGAGTTTTGTTTTGGTATTTTATGTTTTATGACCGGTTTTATGCATTAAAAAAAATTTTATGTCATCTATATTTTCGGGCGAAAATGTGTCCTATGTGTTAAAAGAGTACTCATGTCATCTATATTAATATTGTTACAACTTATATTGCTGTGCTAGAAGCAACAGTTATTCTTGGCACATCCAGAAGGCATTGTGTAATCGACGTAGTGGAAGAGAAAACGACAGTGATGGAGTTGATAAACACTGGACGAATACAAACCTTTAACTTGATTCAAAACTGAGAGCAATCCAAAACATTCGTTTGGGACATATTTGAGATAAGTCGAATTTATAAAGACATTATATGCCAGGCACTTTCATATAGAATATTTAAAAAGACTCATTTGGTTTCGTTTTACTGTAACCAGTAAGGTCCGGTTTTACTAGCGCTAGACGTCTGCCATCATTTTGTTAAATAATGTCAAACACAATTTTTGAAGAAGTAATGGTTTGGCATTGTTTTATAATAATAGCTTGGTTCAAACCTTAGAAAGTTATTTAATGTTCTTTATCAAATGGTAATAACATACAATTGTTTCCAAATTAATATCTGCTTTGGAAGAAGAAGAAGCATTATGCTCCAAATTTGAAAGAAAATTCATAAACGCTTGACTGTCTGCAGCTTTGAGGACGATAATAAATGATGTTATTTAGAATTTAGGAATAATATGCTTTGAAATAATCAAGCTGGAATTGAGAGACGTCAGCTGGCAGTTATTCCTCCACCATTCATTGCCTTCAGCTGAGCCATTACAAATATATCTTGCTCGGGTCTAGAGAGAGCTTGAAACGCCTCACATAATTCAG